CCCCAAGATGTCAAAGCATCGGAATACAGAAGATAAAGAGACCCGGTTCAAGACCTACCTAGGAGGGGCCCAGGGCTCCGTGGCAGGACAGGCCCGTGAGTTCACTGGGGCACCGCTGGCTCTAGCTGTGTTTCCACTACAGACGGAGATTGGGAAACTAGCAGAAGGCCAGGGGAAACTTGGCTTGGCCGTCAGCCGCGGGTCTCCAGGCACTTCGTGTGACAATGGCAAGTGCAGATGTGGCTCACAACCCGGCCGACCATGCCCCCCGCCCTGGGTCCTAGGAGGAGGCTGTCACGTGTGGGTGTATTTAGAGATCTGAGAGCCCTGTTTGTCTTAGGCCATAATGAGAGTTAACAGAAACCTTTTAGGTTTTTAACATTTCTAAACAATTGTTGCAACCTCACTTGGCCCAGAATGACTGTTGGTAGAACAGAATGTACTGTAGTTTTAGTGGGGGGAGGAAAAAAAAAAAACCAATTCTCTGTGGATTTATGAAAATAAACTCAGAATTAATGAGCAAAATTTGTTGGGGAGGCCTATTTGTCACACTCAGGAAGCTACAATCTCATTTTACTTGCCGCTATTGCTCTAGCATTGCCATTCGTTTGCTGAAGGCAAAATACATTACTTGTAAATAAACAAAAGTGGCCCCCGTGTCCTGCTCCCCTGCCTTCCTGCAAACATTAATAACCGGCTGACTTCTTGTGTGTGTGTGTGTGTGTGTGTTCTTCCTGTTACATTTTTTGGGGCTTACCAACAGAAATGTATTTTCTCTTGGTTATGGAGGCTGTGAGTCCAAGATCAAGGTGTCGGAAGATCTGGTTTCTTCCGAGGCTTCTCTCTAGACCAGCACATACGGCTGCTTTTCTCTGTGTCTTCTCGTGGTTATCCCTTAGTCTGTGTTGTCCGTGTCAGAATTTCCTCTTCTTAAAAGGACACAAGTCATGTTGGATGGGTGCCCACCCGTGTGACCTCATTTCAGCATAATTACCCCTTTAAAGACCCCGTCTCCAAAACCAGCACACTCTGATCTTCCTGTTTACTTTTTAAAAATGGCTTATTCATTTATTTTTTATCGAAGTACAGTTGAGTTACATTGTTGTGTTAGTTTCAGCTGTACAGCGCAGTGATTCCGTTTTATATATATTTTATATATAAATATTCTTTTTCAGATTCTTTTCCCATTACAGAGTATTACAGAGTATCGAGTAGAGTTCCCTGTGCTATACAGTAGCACAGAGTATCGAGTAGAGTTCCCTGTGCTATACAGTAGGTTCTTGTTGGTAATCTATTTTATATTTAGTAGTGTGTGTATGTTAATCCGAAACTCCTAATTTATCCCCCACCCTTTTCTCCTTTGGGAAAAGACAAATATCATGATGTCGCCTATATGCGGAATCTAAAAAAAAAAATACAAATAAATTTATTTACAAAACAGGAAGAGACTCACAGACATAGAAGACAAATCCATTGCCTTTGAACATGGAACTTCTTCAGGATGTTTTCAGGGGAAATGCTGTGTCTCGGGCTGCTTCACATGGGCGTCTGCATGTCCACGGGTTTGCCTTGCCTTATACAAGCCTGTGGTTTGCAAAGTCCCACCATAAGTTAGGAGCAGGAAAAGGGAGGAAGGACGACGGGTCACTATGAAAAAAAAATGTGTTTTGGTTTTTTTAAAAATAAATTTATTTACTTATTTATTTTTGGCTGCGTTGGGTCTTCGTTGCTGCATGCAGGCTTCCTCTAGTTACAGCGAGCAGGGGCTACTCTTCATTGTGGTGTGCAGGCTTCTCATTGCGGTGGCTTCTCTTGTTGCGGAACACAGGCTCGAGGCACGTGGGCTTCAGTAGTTGTGGCACACGGGCTCAGTAGTTGTGGCTCGTGGGCTCTAGAGCACAGGCTCAGTAGTTGTGGCGCACGGGCTGAGTTGCTCTGTGGCATGTGGGATCTTCCCGGACCAGGGCTCAAACCCGTGTCCCCTGCATTGGCAGGCGGATTCTTAACCACTGCGCCACCAGGGAAGTCCCGGTTGGTTTTTTTTAACTTCATCAAGAGTCTTGTAAAATCATTGCTTTCATCAGGTTCTCCTGGGGCCTTGAAACTATTGTTGGGTGCAGGCCAGTTTATGGAAAGTTTATTGTTTCCTGCGAGGCAGGCTGTGTGATTCTTCCCTGGGGGGCTGAGCCCTGGCAGCACTAGGAGGTGTCCACCCAAACGCAAACCTGTCGGGCCCTGCAAAGCCCCGCTCTCCTCCTCCTCACACTCCTCCCACCTGGTGCCGCAGACGGGCCCTTGGAGTGGACGGCTCAGGCCTGCTCATCCTCCCCTGGGAGCCCTGAACCCAGCCCACTGCTGAGTCGTGAGCACGCTAACAACCATGAGTGGATCTGCCATCCAAATGATATGTCCACATTATTTTTGTACCTGACAGTTTATGGGAAATGGGTCTTTATTTTTTCATTGGAGAAATGACTGTTTTCTTCAGTTTGGCGTTTCCAGAGAGCCATTCACATTTAAAGCTAATATTGGAACAGCAGGTTTCCACTGAAAATATTTACCTTTTCCTTGTTGGCAACTTGTCAGTGTTGGGGAAAATAGATGCTTCATTAAAATCTAAATACATTATGCTTTCTTTCTCACATGTCAGTCACTCTTCCTCCAAGTTGAGGAGCACTGTGAGAAGTGTTGGGAAAGCATTCTGGTCTTATGTTTTTACTTATTTTAGATGTCATCTGGCATCTTGTTCTTGTTCAAAAAGAGGCATCCCAAAACCTATCACTGGCATGGAGAAGCCCTAGGATAGCAGGTTAAATGTCACCCCTAGGACATCGGAATTGATTGTGGCTACAGTGTGACCGGCGGGGTCTCTTGCCCTGGAAAATCCATTGCCAAATAGAAGGGCATAAAGAAAGCAGCTGCCATTTCTCAAAAAGCACAGGGCCCCAGGGCCTTAACAAATATTTAATTCCCCCGACTACCCTGGCAGGTAAGTTTTGTGGAAAACAAGGGCTCAGACAGTTTGAGACCCTGGGCCAAGGTCACACGCAGCCGAGATGAGATTCCACCCCAGGACTGTCTGACCCCTGCTCTCTTCCCCCAGCTGTGAGCTGCTCTTTATTTTGCCTGGGGCCCCGCCTCTGCCACACCACACGGCCAGCGTCCTGTACTGGTTATGGCCTCTCCTTGGGGTTTGTGGCTCCAAGAGCCTCTGGGCCCAGTGTCTCTGATGCAGCCAAAGAGACGAAGGCCCTGGGCACATAGACTAGCAACTGAGAAGGATGGTACTTGGGGCTACTCTGAGTCTCCTCGTCCACCCAGAAATCTGAGAAAGGAGAAAGTGCAATGAGCTGATGCAGTAGAAGTGGCCCCACCCCACGACAGATGCCCACAAACCCAGAAAAGATTTGGCCCTCGTTATAACCCCCTTGACCTTCAAAGGGAAATTGGCTCCCACGTCCTTGAAATTAAGAACCTCTCTTTATCAAAAGACACCATAACAAGTGAGAAGACAAGGCATCAACTGGGAGAAGATGTTTACAACATACGTAACCAAGAAAGGATGAATGCCCAGTACAAGCAAAGCTAAGCAGCGTGTTATGCACACAGTTGTATTAAAACACCCGTTTTTAAAGGCAATGGAAAGACTAGTCCAAAATTCTGAGCAGTTTCCTCCGTGAGGGGCAGGGCTTGGGTTGAGGCCACAGTGGCTCAAGTTCATATTTTCCCTAGATGAATGTTCATGTGTGTCTGTTATTTTATTAGGCTTTATAACTAACTTTATAATGTTTGTGCCAGGCAGTCCTGCATACATGTCAAATAGTAAATGTTTTAAAAATAAAGGTAAAAAGTAGTTATTAACAACCCCAGGAGGTAGGTTTCACTATCCCCGTTTTTACAGATGGGGTCAGACTAGCGGCTGACACGCACTGGGTACTTACTACGCTCCAGGCACTTTATACGAACCGTCTTTTTTAGTGTTTATGGCACCTCTGTAGATACAATCATTTTCATCATCACAGTTCATAGAAAACAGAAGCTTAGTGAGACAAGGTAGCTCTTGCAGTCACTAGCTGGTCACGACTGGTGGTCAAAGCAGGGCTTCCCCCGTGACCTGCCCCATGTCCCTCTCGTGGGTGAGGGGGTGACAAGGCGTCTACCCCCACTTGTCCTGTGCTGCAGTCTCCGTGTCTGAACGATGGTGGCATCCCCACGCTGTGTACTGCCAGGCACCTGAGGTTCTGAATCACTCAGGCGGTCATAGACCGGGAGGCCCAAATCACAGACAGTTACGTCCCACAGTTCTGGAGGCTATAAGTCCAAGATCAAGGTGCTGGCCCACTGGTTCCCCATGAGGCCCACGTGGTGGCTGTCCTCACACGGTGGAGGGGACAGGAAGCCAGTGAAGGGTGCTAATCCTGCCCTGGGGCCACCCTCCTGACCTCACCTAAACCTAGTTACCTCCTAAAGTCCCACCTCCAGATGCCCTCACCTCGGGGGTTAGGGCTGTAGCATATGAATCTGGAGGGACACAAGCATTCAGTCCATGGTAGGCAGGGATGAGGGGAAGGGAAATAGATGGAGAGCTGGCAGGTAAAGTGGATGGTGTTGAAATCTATCTCTGCTGCTCCCTTTTAAGGCCATCCAGCTATAAGGAGCTGGTTCTCTGATGACCTCAGCCCCTTCCTCGGTCAGCACCCATGTGGCTGTGAGTACTTTCGTTGAGTTTTTGATGTTACCCGGGCCTAATCTCACTCTTGTTTTGCCGTGAACGTCTCTGACATTGTGTTTGAGTACACTTTCGAGGTTCTAAGAGCAGGAGTTTCCAGTAGCTTGGTGTCCCAGCTAAGCATGGGGCCCGGATGCTGTGCCCAGCTCCCCGGACAGCTGTGCAGGGACCACGGTCCACACGGGGATCAGTGGCCGTGCGGGACCAACATCCGCATGGAACCCCCTACCCACCCACCTTCCATGCGACTGTCATGGGCCTGTGCTTCCAGGCATCCGCATGCTGGACGGAGACGTGACCGACGTGGTGGAGGCCAAGTCCCTGGGCATCAGACCCAACTACATCGACATTTACAGCGCGAGCTGGGGGCCGGATGATGACGGGAAGACGGTGGACGGGCCCGGCCGACTGGCCAGACAGGCCTTCGAGTACGGCATTAAAAAGGTGTGAGTAACCCAGAGCTGCGAGGGAGCCTCAGGGATGGGGGGAATAGTGAAAATATTTAACAGTGAGAAATCAGAAGGAATAAAGCCAAAAAGAATATTAAAAAGACTCTCAATCCGACAAACCCAAAGATCTTTCAAATGCTCTTTTAACTCTTCTGTGCATATGGAAGGAACTGGGTTCACTCACCTTTTTTAGAAACAAATATGGGACCATCTTCATGCTGTTTCGCAGTATGTCTTATCAAACAACCAACATGTCATATAGGTAAGAAGAAATCTTGTCACATAGGTAACAATAAATAAACTTGAGGGACTTCCCTGGCGGTCCAGTGGTTAAGACTCCGTGCTTCCACTGCAGGGGGCGTGGGTTCCATCCCTGGTCGGGGAACTAGATCCCACATGCCGTGCAGTGTGGCCCAAAAATAAATAAATAAATTTGAGCAGCATACACACAAAATTAGAGTGGCACAGGGGAGAGCCCCAGAGCAGGACGGCGATGGTGCCAGGACCAGAGCAAGGGAGAAGTCATTTGGGGGCTTAGGGAAGTGGCCATCCACCAATGAGAGCAGAAGGACATCACCTCATTACAGAGTAGCTGTTCCGGAAAGTACCAGCTGGTCACTCACCAGCCCCCTGGCTCTGAGCCTTGGAGCCTGACTGCCCCCAGCTGAGGGGTGTATGCAGGTGGGTGGTGGGGATCCTAGACTAACCACCTGGCCTGTTAACTGGGACAGTACAGGTGGAAGGGGTGTCTGGGCCTCGGCGCACCTGCTCACAGGAACCCCGAGCCGTGGAGCTGTCTGCATCCATCACGGGGAGTGTGCTCACCCAGCACCCCCGAAGCAGCAGGTCTTGGCCATGTTCCCTCCCTGCCAGCTCGCAGCCCAGTGTGTTTGGGGTGGACCCCACTGGGGGCTACACCGAGCAAACATCTGAGCATGGGCCCTCCACCCACCGGCTGAGGGGGAGCAGAGGAGGCTGGCAGGCTCCTCTCAGGAGGTCCAGCCCAGTCACTCTGTGGTCATCAGTTCTGGGTCCTTGTGAGTCAGAAAAGCCTGGAGATGTCCCAGCTCTTACAAGCACGGTGGCAAGGCAGATTTATGGGCGAGGACAACTTCTTGGAGCAGACACAGAGCTGTGGTCAGCGTCCGGGTGGCCCTGGGAGGCCCGGCGATGCTGGCAGGGTTGGGTCAGGAGGTCCAGGCATCCCCAAGGCAGGGTTTATACCTCTGACTTCTACAGGAAACAGGACGGGGGGCCAGGTCAAGCCCATTTTATTATCTATATTTTTTAAACATTTTTTAAAAGTTCTTACCTTATTGTAAGCCATGCATGATTAAAATGTGGTTAATAAATAAAATAGTACCAGAGGATTATAGTGAAAGCAGCCCTTATCGCCCTCTGCCCATCCCCCCGTGGTGCCCCACAGAGGAGCAATCCTGAATTCTGAGCAACACCAGCTTCATCCAGCTCTCAGGGGAGTGCGGAAGGTGCGGAGAGGACCATGTGGTTCTTGTCACAGTTTCTTGAAATACTGAAGTCACTTCTTTTTTTTTTTTTTAGTCATTCTGAATAAAATATGCCACATAGGGAGCCTTAGATCGCAGCTGTCTGAAGTTGTCACTGAAAATCCTCCTAGAGATTTGATGATCTCAGACCGAACCACATTCTCCCATCTGTTTTTCCTCCTCGATGCCCTGTTTGTCACCTATATCCTTTTTCTGTAAAATCTGACTTCATCTTTGGTAGATGGTGTGGGTTGGTGGTAGGAGACATCAGACCCTGTACTTTGGCATTAAGATGTGTTTGATGTTGGTCCTCGTGTGGCTTGTCACCCAGAAGGGGAGAGTCAGTGTCACTGTGGCTGAAAGCACTGGCTTTGTCCAGATGCCGGGCATTTGCTAGCCCTCTGAGTCCATGGATGAGGTCTCCGCTTCCCAGGCAAGATGCTCAAATATGTTCCGATGGTGTTGAGGTGTGGTGGCTTCCTGAACAGAAGTGCAAGTTCATAGCCAGGGTTGAAACGTCCCCTGGAGCCTCTGTCCTGTGGCTTCCATAGGAACAGAAGACCCGGAAAGTGAAAATGCAGTCCTCAGAGATGGCTCAGACCTGGGTGTTTCCTCTGTCTCGTTCCCACGTTCCCTTTCCAGGAAACTGTTTTCAGAAGGGAAAGAGGCTTTGGACGCCTTGATGCCTGTGAGAACTCATGGGTCTAGTGGTACCTGCAAAGTGCAAGGTGAAGAGATGCAAGTCTTTGGCATTTAGGCCTCTGTTATTCAAAGTGGGGTCCCAAGCAGCAGAGCTGGCATCACCTGGGAGCCCGTCAGAAGTGCAGAATCTTGGGCTCACCTGCACCAGCTGAGCCCAAGTCTGCGATGTAGCGAGACCCCCGGGGATTCTCCTCACAAGTGTGAGAAGTGCTTTTTGAGGCCATTCTCCGTGCTGCTGGAGCAGTAAGGTCGCTTGCCCTGCTTTGCAAAATGACAGCCTTTGATAAACAATTTGGAGTGAGGCGAGGAGTTGGAGGTGAAATAAAGACAGGCTCTGATGGGGTCAACACCCTTTCATTCCAATTTTCGTTGCTTTGAACGAACTTCTGATTAATCTCTTCCTACAGGTAGTTATGGGCACAGACACACGCATGTCCTTAGTCCTTTGTGCCTTTTTTTTCCAGAAGGTTGCCATTTTTGCTAACTGTAAGTAACCTTTCTGTCGGGCTTTTGGCCGTTTGGGCAGGTCTACCTTCGAGATGTGGAAAACGGAGTGGATGAGGCAGTTTTGAGCCCTGGGACTGGGCTGTCCCTCGAGCCTCAGGTTGGAACTGGTGCAGATGTGGGAGTGAAGACAAATAGGCACAAAAGGGTGGGGACCTGTGGTCTACTTGGTCCAAAAGTGGGGTGTCCTGGTACTTCTGGAGCAGGTGGGTGCCCTCAGTCCGCGTGGACTTGAGCTCCAAGGGTGTGTCAGGCATCCTGTCAGAAGCAGGGTTTCAGTCGGGCTACGGGGAATTGTAGGATTTTGTTGAAAATTTTCTTTAAATTGGCCAGTTGTTGGGCCTGAGTGTCAGTTTCCTCCTGTATGTTTGGACAGGAGTATCCTTGGCAAGGATGCCGGAGCCACCAGCCCACGTGGAGACGGGTATTGGCACCTCTCTCTGGGGCTGGCTGTGCCCACAAACGGTCCAGCCTTTCGGACCGAACGGGTCGGTTCCGTCTTGGAACTCGTGTTCTTCTTTAGCTGGTGTTTGTGGCTGGGATGAGTGTTGGTTGGATCCCATGGGTGTGGGTTGGAGAGGCTGCAGGAGCTCCCCTGACCTGCTACTGTCTTACAGAGACTTGCTGTCACGTGTGTGTCCTTAAATGTGAAAACCTACACACAGGTGAAGCCGCTGGCCTTGGTTGCGCTGGCAGTGTGGCCGCTTCAACACTGACCCATGGGGAAGCCCCGGGGCACTCTCCTAGGATGGCCCCGGGGTGTTCTGGCCCTTGGCCCTTGTTCCTGCAAATCCTGGGCCCACCGCTTTTCAAGGAGCTCTTCTCCAGGAACGATGCTTCTGCAGCTGGGTTTTCAGGAACTTTTGCCCTCTTCCTCCGCCAGAAAAATTAATGTCATAAATTCAGCCGTCAGCTTTCATCTCAGTGTACTTGGGGGCGCTGCTTGGTCTTTCTGATCGTGGGTCATTGCAGTGGAAATTACTGGTGTTGCTCTGGGACAGAGCAGCTTGTGTGAGGGCCTTGATTTTCCCGTGAAGAACAGGGAGGACTTTCTGGGCCAGCTTCTCAGTATGACGTTGTGATTCTATGGTGTCATGGCTGTTGCCGCCAACACTATGAAAATTGGAATGCCAGAGCCCATCAGCCCACAGACCACACACTGGGCGGCCCCTGTCTGGTCTGAGTGCATCCTCCTCGGCCCCCTCCCTCTTCAGGGGCGGAGGGGGACGCTGGACAGGGGTGAGACCAGCTGGGGGTCCATGTGGGCTGACGCCTGTCCTCTCCCCTCCAGGGCCGGCAGGGCCTGGGCTCCATTTTCGTCTGGGCGTCGGGGAACGGCGGCCGAGAGGGGGACCACTGCTCCTGCGACGGCTACACCAATAGCATCTACACCATCTCCGTGAGCAGCACCACGGAGAATGGCTACAAGCCCTGGTACCTAGAGGAGTGTGCGTCCACCCTGGCCACCACCTACAGCAGCGGGGCCTTCTACGAGCGCAAAATCGTGAGTCCTCGGCGGAACCCCGGGGGATGAGCTCCTCGTCCCATTCTCAGGAGGACGGGCCAGTCAGGGCAGTGTGTACCTGGCCCCGGGCCCAGCCTTGCAGTCAGGGAACTAGTTGTGCCTCAAGGTAAACCCCAGGCCCTTGGCAACCTTCCTCAGACCCTGCCTTTTTAATTTTGGCACAGAATACCAATTAAAACCCTCTCTGTCTCTAGGAATCTAAAAATAGCCTTTAAGAACGGGGTGTATTCTCAGCATGGTGTCTTTTTTTAGCTTTCTATGTTCTGTGGTCACATTGCTTGGGATCCAACTGGCCAGTTCAGTTTCAACGTGCAAAACAGAGTGAGAAAGTCTTGCTTCTATACGGAAACAGTTTAGAAATCCGGGTGTCCTAGGTGTTCCCTTCCTCACAAAAGGACTTTTCCAGACACTTCAGGTTGAGAGTGGTTCTGTCGGTTATGCTCACTTCAATGAACATAAGTGCGGTTTATCTTTTAGAAAGTAGCTTTTAGTTTAGTGATGGGTGAAGTTTGTGCTTGTTCCTTCCCTACGTGCTTTCCTACTTTGAAAAAATGTAAGAGGGGAGGGTTTCAAGTTGAAATCAATGCAGAATTCAAATGCACAGTCTTTAAGATGGTTTTTAGACCTTTAAAAAAAGGAGACCGTGGAGCTGGCCAACTGGTTTAACCTGAAAGCTCACTGGCATCTTTTCATTTCTCCTGTTGCCTGGCCACATCTTTAGACATTACTTGCAGGCATATTTTTACATTTTTCTGCGGGAGCGTGCAGGCTTCCCGTTCCCTGATTTGCTCTGCACCAGTGGGAAGGTCAGCCGCTATCCTCCCACCGCCAGCCTGGCAGCAGCCCGGGCTGTTTCACGAAGGTATTAATTTATGTTCCTTTTCTACTGGACTGTGCACCCCTGGGATGGGGCTGAGATTCTGAATGGTGTCCTGTCATTTAGGAATCTAGCTCATTTGAACACGGACTTGCTGGAGTCTCATTAAGCAGAACCTGACAGAGGCCTTGGCTGGAGGGGGCAGGGAGGTGCTGTGTGCCGGGGACTCTGTGCTGGGTGGATGCCATTCCCCATCCCTGGGAGCAGGGCTTGCAGCTTTATTTGCTTAATTAATCACACGGCATCTGCAAGCGTGTACGTGTGCATGCGTGGGCACACGCCTTAGCTACAAAATGCCTTAATTTCTTTTTCTTTTTAAAAAAACATTCTCTGAGCCCTAATGTATGGTAAGAAGGGTGTCGCTGGGCAGAGGGTGAAAGAGAAAATCACGGTCCATTGCAGATGCTGTCCGGGTGCTCGTCCCTGGGAGTATGGGTGGCAGGTGGTTTTGGTTTTGGTTTTGGTTTTTTCCCCCAACTCAACAAGGCCGGGTGTTTGCTCTGAGTCCCTTAGTCCCTTAGAGACCCTGCCAGGGGGTGAGCCCCTTCCCTGGATGGTGGGCAGCTCGCGTCTGCACGTTCAGGCAGGTGTCCATGGAAATTGGAGCTCGGGCCCCTCGTCCTCTTCCGTTGCTACAATCCAGCGAGTGCCGACCTGCGAGGGATTGCCCGGTGCTGAGACAGGGCTTGTGATCAAATAAGTTGCACCTAAAGCGGCATCTCTCCCTCATTCATTCATTCAGTGAACACAGCTAAGTACCAAGCAGGATGTAGAGTTTCAGGAAGGGGCTGCCCACCTTGGTTCAGCCGTCCCCTCCCTGTGGGGAGGCCCCTCTGCTCATGCCCCTTTCTCTGAGGCTGGAGAGCCAGCCACGGGCCTTACCTGCTCTTGGGAGCTTGGTGTCCTGCCCACACAATCTCACTTTCCCTCACTGGCCACCTTTGACTGAGTACAAGTATGTGCCAGGTGCCAGCTGTGCTTTCACAGGAGCCCCGTGAAGGACTTGGCATTAAGCCCCTTTGCAGATGAAGATCCTGGGGTCAGAGAGGTTGCATCCTCATCCCTGCTCCCTTGCCCTCCCCAATGTCAAGGTCCTGCTGAACTAGGAGGGGGGAGGAGGCTGGTCTCCACCAGCATCCCTGTTGAATCTTCCTCTGTGTGTGTGACATGGGCTGGATCCCTCTCACTGGTGACGGTCGGCCCAGCTGAATCATGAGGAAGGAAAATGCTGTGTTTGGAAGAGGATCTGGACTGTTACCACGGGGGAAATTCGTTCTCAAGGGTTTTGCAGATGGGTTGCTGGAGGCTTACAATTGGTGGGTATATTAGTCTCCTATTGCTGTCATTAACAGATTGTCCCAAACTTCGCAGCTGGAACAGCACAGCTGTGTCATCTCACAGCTCTGTGGGCCAGAAGTGCTGCAGCCTCCACTGGGTCTCACGAGGCTGATGTCCAGGTGTTGGCCGGGCTGCATTCCTTTCCAGAGGCTGGAGGGAGAATCCATTCATTGTTCATCCAGGGTGTTCACAGAACTTAGTTCCTGGTGGTTATAGGACTGAGCTCCTGTTTCCGTGTGGGCTGGCTGCTGAGGGCTGTTCCCAGCTTCTGCGGGCCACCCATGTTCCTGGCTTTTGTCCCCCCAGCGCCCTCTTCAAAGCCAGCAGGGAGGGTCAGGTCCCTCCTAAGCCTCATCTCTCTGACAGACTTTTAAGGGCCCTGTAATTACGTCCCCGATTTAAGTTCAGCTGGTTAGCAGCCTTAGTTCCACCTGCAAAATGCATGGGAGTCACACTAAGGCCAGTGTCCCGTCCAGCACAACAGGTGTCTCCCAGCTGTACCCACGCATGCTTCTCCGTTTCAGTTCAAAGGGAAGGTGCAGTCAGGCTGGACTGTGGTGAGGCCCAGAATCAGTGTCCACCCCCGTCACCGAGGGACACAGGTGTAGCTCCTGCTGCAGACAGAACTGGGTGCTCTGGGACACTGTCAGCTACCTGGGAGGACGTCCTGGTGGAGAGAGTGCTCTGTGACCTTCTCTGACCAGTGGCCGATCTCTGGCTCATGGCAGAGATGTTCTCTGGGCCAGACGACACCAGCACGTGTTTCCCTGCTCTGAAGTCTGGAGTGACTTGGGGGTTGTTGATGGGGGCCCTGGCAGGGGGTCTTGCCGTGGAGGCCCCTCTGTTTCATTCTGTCTCTCTGTTGAGTCTCGGGCTGCATCTGCAGTGGTGGGGGGCTGTGGCCTTGACCCCCTGTTCCTACCCCGCCATCACCGTGTTGCTGCAGGGGGTGCCAGACACGCAGAAACCTCCGTTGCCGAGGTGTGTCTGCATAGCACCTCTTCCATCCCTGGGGCCAAGGTCACGCCTGCCCAGGGGCAGTGTCCTGAGCAGCCTCTGACCCGGCTGCTTGCTGCCCCCGCCCAGGTGACCACGGATCTGCGCCAGCGCTGCACCGATGGCCACACCGGGACCTCTGTTTCAGCCCCCATGGTGGCCGGCATCATCGCCTTGGCGCTGGAAGCAAAGTAAGTTCCCACCTACCTTCCCTCCTTTTCCTTTTTTTAAAAAAAGTTTTTATTGTGGTAAAATACACATAACGTAAAATTTATGTTTTACACACCATTTTAAGGGTGACGCTCGTTAAGCACATTCACTGTTGAGTGACCGTTGCCGCCAGCCATCTGCCCAGACGGAAGCCCTGTACCCATCAGATAGCTTCCTGTGTGGTCTGCTGGGGCTTAAACAACAGAAACATACGATCTCACAGTTCTGGAGGCTAGAGGTCTAAGATCGCGGTGTCGGCAAGGCTGTTTCCCTCTGAGGCCTCTCTCCTTGACGTGTCAGTGGTCACCTTCTCCCCGTGTCCTAACGTGGCCTCTGTGTGTGTGTGTTTAGATCCTTCTATAAGGACACCAGTCATGTTGGATCAGGGCCCACCCTAATGACCCCATTTCACCTTAATTACAGATGCCCATCTCCAAATGCAGTCACGTCTGAGGTCCTGGGGATCAGGGCCTCGACGTGTGATTTTGGGGAAGGGACGCGCAATGCAGCCCATAACACTCCCCATTTCCCCCTCACCCAGCTCCTGCCAACCACCGTTCTAGTTTCTGTCTTTATGAACCTGACTCCTCTCGGACTTCAAATTTGTGGGATCACACAGTGTTTGTCCTTCTGTGTCTGGCTCACTTCACTCAGCATAGTGTCCTCCAGGTTCACGTCAGGATTACTCCTTAACGGGCACGAGTGGCTTCTTCCCTTCTCTCCCGTTTTCAAGCTCACAGTCTCCTGCCCTTCATAGGAGCACAGGGAGCCGGGGCGGGGGGGCGTGCCCCAAGCCTGCACCGCACCCCCAGACCACACTTTAGGCTGATACAGCTGTCCTTTGTCAACTTTAGTTCATAAGTTGACAATACGGTGGTGATGATTTATCTGCTTTAAGCTGAATAAAAACCCTAGAGTTGTCAATGGGTGGATGGTTCAGAAAAAGAGAGCCTACTACAGATACAGTCATGGGATCAAAAACAGATTTTAGTTTAAATATCAAAACTGGCTCAGAACAACCCAGCCCTTTGAAGGAGTCATTTGCCGCAGGTGAGATTTTAAATGATTCAGCACTTATATTTGGGTTGCTGCAATCCTTCTCATTATGTATGTTTGCTCGTTGCTTTGCATCAGGCGAAAGAGCGTAAAACTCAAATGCTACCCATTTCACAAAGAAAGAGCTAAATATCTTTGATTTTCAGGCCAAAATGATAGCTTCTGTGTCCTGAGGCTCATTTAAAAAATGCTAAATACTTGCTTGTGGGGGAAGTTGCTTTCACATACTTGGTGATTGGTTGTTTTATATTTTCTTTCCTTCCTTATTGGAAACATGGAAGGAGTTTTGTTAGTTGAAACTAAATAGAAAACAGACCCCGCTTTGTGCCGGATTGTCCCATTAAACTTGGCCTGTGGACTCATGAATTCCCCGATCACTGCCTCATCATTTTAGCTCATCCTCAGAATTTTACAGGTGGTAGGTCAAACACACGTCCTTGGAAACAGCGTCCACTTAGAGCATTTAAACACATAGGGTTGGTCCAGGAAGGAACTTGGTGTAACCAGGGGCACTGCCGGCCTCAGCTGAGGGGCTTTGGAGGCCCGGGTAGTATCTGGACAGCTGCTCACGTGTGCAGCAATTTTGCTGTGGAAGGAGGCCGGGCAAAGCCAGGTCACCTGAGGGGAGAAGCTCTCGGGGGTGCAGGAGGCCTGCGGGCAGCATGTGACAAGGATGAAGGAAGAGCCTTATGTGTGAGAACCACCCCCAAGGCCTAGCAATCCCTTCTTCATTTAAAAAAACATTTTAAACACCATTTCTTAGACATGTTTTCATACAACTATATATGTGATTTCATTACTACCATCAAAAATGAAATGGAGTTTCTCCTAGTAAGATGGTTTCTCACATCCTCCCTTTCTAAACCCTTTCTGTGTCAGCTCTGAAGCCCAGGCTTCCTGGCATCTGTGCTGAGCTCCTGGGGGGCTGGCTTTCTCCATCCTGGGTGGACCCTGCGGATGTGAGGGGTGACGAGCCCGGCCAAGCAGGGGAAAGGGCGGCAGGCACACCTGCCGCCTGGAATCCAAAGCCTGTGCGTGCACCTCTCCACCAGAGGGCAAGGCCGTGGGCCACTCGGGGCCTCAGATCCTCCTCTAACAGTGAGGCTGGCTGTGGTCCTCAGGAGGGCAGTGGATAAGGGGAGGATAGCAAGTCAGCTTGTGCCAAGAAAAGGTCTGGAAACTGTACTGATGGGAACAGTTGGGATAGGCAGCCAGGAGGCCACTGACTGGCCGGGGACCAGCACAGTGTCAAGAACGTGGTGGAGAAATCAGGGGAAGCCAGGGCTAGAGCCCAGAGAGCGGGAGACCCCAGGGAGGGAGGAGTACACAGGCCCCCCAGGACTCAAGCCACAGGTGAGCTTCTAGTACTAAAGCAGGCAAAGCATTTGTTGGGAAAGTAAAATAGTCAGCTGCTGTGAAAAACACTGTGATGGCTCCTCAAGAAATGAAACAGAATTACCATATAATTTAACAATTCCACTTGTGAGCGTGCACCCAAAAGGACTGAGAGCAGAGACTCGAAGAGATATTTATACAGCCACGTTCACGGCAGCATGACTCACAATAGCAGAAGGTGGAAGCAGCCCAGATGTCCATCGATAGATGAATGTGGTCTATGGGATGTCATTCAGCCTTGAGAAGGAAGGAGCTTCTGACCCCTGCAGCAACGTGGACGAACCTGGAGGACATTATGCTGAGTGAACTAAGCCAGTCACAGAAGGACAGATACCTTGGGACTCCACTTCTGTGAGGCACCTAGAGTCATCAAATCCATAGAGACAGAAAGGAGGATGGCCTGGCCAGGGGCCTGGGGGAGGGATGGGGAGTGAGTGTTTGATGGGGGCAGAGGTTCAGTGGGTTAAGATGATCACGTCCTGCAGACGCATGGTGGTGACGGCTGCATGGTGTGGTGAATGTGTTTAATGGCGCTGAACTGTACGCTTAAAAACGGTTGAGATGGCACATTTTATGCTACGTGTGTTTACAGACGCACACACAAAGAGTGGGCAGTTGGAAAGGTGCCTGTGAGAACTGGCCAGGAAAGGTGCTCTTTAAGAAGAGGTGGCAAAGGCCACGTCCAGGGAGCTCCCACTCTTTTTTTTTTTGGCTGTGCTGTGTGGCTTGCAGGATCTTAGTTCCCCAGCCAAGGATCGAACCCATGCCCCCTGCAGTGGAAGCACGGAGTCTTAACCACTGGACCGCCATGGAAGTCCCCAGGGAGCTCCCATTCCTGTCTGTGATGCGGTCCTAGCACTGTGGACAGAGCAGGGTTCTGAGAGCATCGTTGTCAGGTGGATCCTGTTTTGAGGAGTGTTGAAAAGGCAAGCAAATGTATCTTAGTGTCCAAGATATCTCATCTCTGCATTTTTAATCGTGGGCAAGTGTTCTTTTAATGAAATGTTTCTACTCTGCACCAAAATGAATATATTGTTAATGTAGAATTACTAAAATCTCAAATTCTAGTGTGTGGGCAGTGGTCCTGGACATGGGGTCTGAGTAGGTGATGGCTGGGCGTGCCCCGGCCCACGGAATGCTCACTCACGGGTAAAGACTAGTCCAGATTCTCCCAACACGTGCTGATACTTAAGGCTGTCCTCTCCCCGGGGCCAGAGTTTGCCATAGAGCCTCATACAGACTCAGGTGGATCGTGGTAGCAAGGCTAGGCTTTAACACTGTGGGTTTTTGGTCACCCATTGTACTATCTTATCTCAGGGTTTGATGACTAGAAACCGTTCTTTACAAGGAGGTTGTGACGTTGACCCTTGACAAGGAGGGGAGCCTGCGGAGCCTTCCTCAAGTCCAGGCACGAGGCTGGCTCCCAACGCCCCACCTCTGATGGGCCTTGTGGCCACCTTACAGACCCACATGAGTACAGCCGTCTGTCCTTGTGTCATTGCAGCAGCCAGCTGACCTGGAGGGACGTCCAGCACCTGCTGGTGAAGACGTCCAGGCCGGCCCACCTCAAAGCAAACGACTGGAAGGTGAACGGTGCTGGTCATAAAGGTGCGGCCAAGACTCTGGGGCTGGGTGGGTCATGACCTCCTGGAGCCTGTATGGGCGGGGACATGAATTTCTCAGAAAGAACCCCCAAATAACATTAATTATGTGTCACGAGAATGAAAAGTAGAAATCCAGTAGTTAAATAAGGTCACTCAAGTTCTGGGCTTGCTAAACCTCACGACTTCTGCCACGTCAGGGGCCACCTGTACCAGTATTGAGTTCATGGTTCTCTTTAAATGGGCTTGCCTATTTTTTTTTTTTTTACACGAAGTATATTTTAAAAGGAAACTCTATTACATCTAGTTAATCAGGGGTTTGATGTGTAGTTATGTTTTTTCTAATGCACATTAAAACAAATCCATAATTATTAAGATAAATGATGTTTGCTTACGTGCCACCTAAGGACAACTTGCATTCTTAGCCCTGGGTAGCTCTACAATTTTGAAACTATCCCTCAGTTTCCTCACCTGTACAAGGAGGACATTGAGATAGTTATATAAGTTACTTTCCAACTACCAAAGTTCTGTCAGCAAGCCCTTGTGTTTTAAAAGGGCTCTATCCCCATTATAGCCTGGGACAGACCCAGGTACCATGAAATCAACCCACAGTCCAGGCTTGTAACCCAGATATTTGGAGCCTCTTGAGCAGGTTATTATAGGACTGTGCCACTGGCTTTGTTTGTCTTGCTTCTTACCAGAGATACTTGAAAAAGATTTACATTCAGCCATGGTATGTTAGGGAGGACGTTTTTTCCTTTTCTTTAGCTCAGGTCCAGCTATTTCGACACCAAGCCTGATACTACTCTTTGAAAAATGCAGGTCAAGCATTGTTGCCCTAAGTTCCGAGGGACATTCCTTTTAATAAGGAGGCCATTGATTAGGCCTGATGCAGCCTTGTCTTGCAGGAATGTTTGTGGTAGTGGTGTGCTGCAACAAGAGCTGACCTACATTTCAATTTTGGCCTAATTAAATAGGAAAAGAGATTGTATCTAGTTCTTGACCTTGCCTCTTAAATTCAACTCTGAAACTCTCCTGCGTTGGCCAGATTAAACACCAGCTTGGGCCAGCCTGTGTGCTGGGTGATGCTGCTCTCCCTGAATGCCCTAGAAATTCAGCAGGGAGAGCAAATGGCAGAAGAGATGAGCAGAGCCTTGTTTCATTGTGCTTATTGCACGTCGTGGTTGCGTGAACTAAGGTGTCGCATGTTTTGCTTTTCATGTCCGGTTCAAAATTCGGGGAGCGCAGATGCCAGGAAGTCCCTTTTTTTTTTTTTTTTTTTTGCGGTAGGCGGGCCTCTCCCTGCTGTGGCCTCTCCCGCTGCGGAGCACAGGCTCCGGACGCGCAGGCTCAGCGGCCATGGCTCACCGGCCCAGCCGCTCCGCGGCATGTGGGATCCTCCCGGACCGGGGCACGAACCCGTGTCCCCTGTATCGACAGGCGGACTCCCAACCACTGCACCACCAGGGAAGCCCAGGAAGTCCCTTTAATATAAAGAAACTCGCCCTCATCTTACAAAAAGAAAGTACTAGGCTCCCTCAACACTTCCTTTATTTTGCACCAAAATGGGATGTATTTTCTGGCCCTCACTCCTGACCTGAAAGAGTTGGGAGAGTAAAGCAGCTGGGAGTGTCCTCAGAAGGACGGGTGCTGTGGCCCGGGGCTCTCAGGCGCTGGCAGGGGCCCTGCAGCCCTGGAGGGACACAGGTGGCCTGTCCCCGGACGGTGGTGGCAGTGGGGAGCTGGGTCTGAAGGCCCTGTCTTTTCAGTTAGCCACCTCTATGGATTTGGCTTGGTAGACGCGGACGCCCTCGTCATGGAGGCCAAGAAGTGGACTGCGGTGCCCCTGCAGCACAGCTGTGTCGCTGTCACAGACAAGAGGCCCAGGTGAGCCCGGTTCTTCCGGTGTGTCCTTTGGACTCTGCTGGAAGGTATTTCGGGGATGGGGGAGACGGGTGTTCACACACGCATTCCTGTGCACATCGGTGAGGACATGCGTGTGTGGGTGCGTGCAGTGCGTCTGTAAACACGTCTGCATTTTTCCCTGTGGATTGTGAAGCAGGGAAAGGAATCGATTCTTAATCCAGTACTGTTTTGAGGCCTTTTGCTGTCATTGTAGTTTCCCCTTTTGTCAATTGCTCCATTCTGAGGCGTCCATCCCTCAGCCTGAACCCCAGCCTAGGATTGGAACTTCTTAGCCATAATGTTTAGCAGAGCCACCCAGACCTGGGAGCTGCCCTGCTGGCTGGGGGCGATGGGCAGCAGCACCAAGCGGCCTCCTAGAGGCTGGAGCCATAGCTCTGGCAGCTCCACCGGCCCCGAGAGTCCGCAGTGAGACCCCATTGGTCCTGGACCAGGGTGGCAGCCCCGGCTTCTTCTCTGTGGCAGGAGAGGGTTTAGTATCCAGAGTGCACAGCAGCGCGGTGTCGCTTTTATCTGGACTCAGATAAGCTTAAGGTGTAAACACTGGGATTTTTTTTTTTTAACATCTTCACTGGAGTATAATTGCTTTACAGTGGTGTGTTAGTTTCTGCTGTAGAGCAAAGTGAATCAGCTACATGTATACATATATCCCCCTACCCCTCCCTCTTGCGTCTCCCTCCCACCCCTCCAGGTGGTCACAAAGCACCGAGCTGATCTCCCTGTGCTATGCGGCTGCTTCCCACTAGCTATCTGTTTAATATTTGGTAGTGTATATATGTCCATGCCACTCTCTCTCACTTCGTCCTAGCTTACCCTTCCCCCTCCCTGTGTCCTCAAGTCCATTCTTTTTTTTTTTTTTTTGCGGTACGCGGGCCTCTCACTGTTGTGGCCTCTCCCGTTATGGGGCGCAGGCTCAGTGGCCATGGCTCACGGGCCCAGCCGCTCCACGGCATGTGGGATCTTCCCGGACCGGGGCACGAACCCACGTCCCCTGCATCGGCAGGCGGACTCTCAACCACTGCGCCACCAGGGAAGCCCTCAAGTCCATTCTCTATGTCTGTGTCTTTATTCCTGTCCTGCCCCTAGGTTCATCAGAACCTTTTTTTTTTGGCGGGGGGGGGGATCCATATATATGTGTTAGCATATAGTATTTGTTTTTCTCTTTCTAACTTACTTCACTTTGTATGACAGACTTTAGGTTCATCCACCTCACTACAGATAATTCGATTTCATTTCTTTTTATGGCTGAGTAATATTCCATTGTATATATGTGCCATGTCTTCTTTATCCATTCATCTGTCAGTGGACACTTAGGCTGTTTCCATGTCCTGGCTACTGTAAATAGTGCTACAGTGAGCATTGTGGTACATGAGTCTTTTTGAATTATGGTTTTCTCAGGGTATATGCCCAGTAGTGGGATTGCTGGGTCATATGGTAGTTTTAAAAAAAATCTGTACGGAATTCCCTGGCAGTCCAGTGGTTAGGACTCCGCGCTTCCACTGCAGGGGGCACAAGTTCAATCCCTGGTTGGGGAATTAACATCCCGCATGCTGCGTCGCATGGCCAAAAAAATCAACTGTAAAGTATATAAAATAGCAAGAATCCTATTCCATTAGGAGAGGAGATCGGATTACTCTCCTGAATTCTGCTGTTGCCGCTGTCCATTGTATCCTTTTCAGAATGGTGTTACTCTAGGCTTTAAAATCCGATGAAGAATGGAATGCATTTCTTTCTCTCTATAACTGTTTATTACCTTTGGAAAATGTGTGTTTGAGAAAAAAAAGAAATGATGGGGTGATTAAAAGGGATTCTTGCTTTATCAACAAAGATAGATCATTCTCTTTGAGATCGCCCCTTCCTTAAAGGCATCTACCTCTTATAATATGCCCTTCTGCTATAAAATGTTGAGGAAAGTGTTTCTTGCTGATGCCTTGCATACAGTAGGAATTCAGAAAGTATTTGTTGGATGAATAGCCACAGAAGGATCTTTTGAAAAATTGCATTTCCCTCCTGCTGCTAATTGTGAAGACTGACTGCCGGCTTATCCCTCCAAGGCCTGAGGAGCTGGTAGGCCAGCAGGCGAGTCTCAGCCTTGACATTTGAAAGCATCATTTTCTCTGGGGAGCCTTAGACTGTCAAACTCAGGAGAAAGTGGAAGGTTTTCTGAGATTAAGAGGACTTTTGCATTCTTTTGCTTGGTTATTTGGAAGACCCCTGGCACACAGGCACTCAAGCTCCAGGTTAGGTGGTGCTGGACTCGGGGGCTGGGTCCCACCCGCGAGGCTGCCCTCTGCCCTGCCGCGTCCAGGCTGCAGCCCTTCCTTTCCACTGGCCTCCCCGTTGGGGCAGCTCCTGAATGAAGCATTCTTCTACTGCCAGAAATAGTTTTAAGATGGGAGAGTGGTGCCTAGGTGGCGAAGGGTTGTTTTTATTTTTATTTTATTTTGTTTTTTAAGTGCTGGTACACGGAGTCTAGACAGCATGGGTTGAGGGGCGCAGCCATACTACACAGTGTGACATTGTTCCTGTCCTTTGAGGAAAGGTCCCCGCAAATTCCAGCAGACGGGAAGAATCGCACTGCTGTTTCTAAGGGAAATCATCTTTACGTTTAGCAGTTTCAGACTCTCTGGAATATTCAGCCAATCTGCTGTCCCAGACCTCAACTGCACATTCACTTGTTCCCAAGGACATAAGGGCCGAGAGAGAGACAGACAGCCAAGTGCTCCCACGTGGAAGGCAGATACGTGTTTAGCCCTGACAGCCTCATCTCCCGGCAGAGCTGCAGCCTGCCTGCCAGGGTCGCTTGAGCCAGAGCTGCTGAGCACCCCCAGTGCTTATGGCTGGTTTCCTTCATCAGGGTTCTTGTGTAGCTTTGCCTAAGCTGCTGGGACCATTTAGCTTAAAGATGAAAAGGAAGTCTACCCGCGTGCCTGCTTCTCCCTCTGCCTCTCCCTGCTCCCTCTCTGCAGATGTTTCTTGATCTGGGGGTCCCCGAAGACGGCTGTCCACTGTCTTGGCCTCTTTCTGGTTTTTCCTTCTCATTGTGGAATCTTAGGATGCCGTGAATGTCCCAGACCTGGCTTCAGTGCTTCCTGTGGAGAAGAGCACAGAGAGAGGGAGGGAGGAAGGCGGGAGTGGGCCTCTTTGGCCGCCCTGTGTGGACCCATGTACCCATGGGACACGTTTCCCTGTCTTCCCTCCTGAGTATAAGGACCAGGCCACCCTACTGTGACCTTCAGAGAACAGTGTTCCTTGCTATTAAGTGCAGGCGTCCTGGCAAGGACTGTGGCCACACCTGCCAGTTCTGCGGTGACGTCTGAGCCAGGGGGCCTGGGTGTCCATGGTCACGTGCAGGGCAGGAATGAAGAGCACTGACATCCTTCTTAACTCCTTTGAGCCTCAGTTTCTTCGTCTATGACGTGGGGATGTAAAACAGCTCCCAAACCTCACACCCTGGTTGGGGGTTTTGAATGAGTGAATATACACGGAGTGCTCAGAACAATGCCCGGCTCACAGTAAGGGCCTGATAATTGCCATCCATCACATTCACCTACGTATTTACAAGCAGCGTTGTTATAAAATGACATCACATGCAGTCTGGTTTAATGAAATACCAGAAAAGTAAACAGCATGTGGTTAGTGCACAGTTAATTCTTGAACATCTAGAAATAGATGGTCTGCTCTGTAGATAAACCTAAATATTCAGAGCTTTTAGTTTTGACGTATATTTTGTGTGGTGGGTGAGTTCTTTAATAAAAGACAAGCCACACTAAACCACGGGCTGTCAGGATGGTGATCTTCCAAACCTGCTGAAGCTGAAGACAAGTACGTAAGTCCTCTTTGCTTTAGAGGACTCTGGCTGTCTTTCCAGCGCGAAGTTAGGAGACATGGATGTCATGGACTGTTTCACTGTAGCCTGGGTTTTTAAAGATGCAAGGGAAGTGCCGGCTAGAAAATCCTGCGAGTCAAATAAGATACTTAAAAGCTGGGCCTCGTTTTCATTCACGGGAATTATACTAAGCTTGATTTTCTTCTTCACTTTTTCAGAAAGGCTATAAAAGTGTTCATTTTATCCTTCTCTATCTGACACCCACAGACTTTCAAATAATTCTGCACAGGCAGATGGCACTGGTCATGATCCTATTTACCCTCCTGCGATTGACAAAAGTTCTGAGGAGATTTAAAACCATCTGTGCCCAAGACCAGGCAAGAATGTCTTCCACGTGTGTTTGAATGTCACAGCAGAGACTCGGGCTCAGCGCATATTTTCACGGGTGTCATCTGTAAGGCCCGTAACAAGCCGTTCTCTATCGCAGAAGTGCCCGGCGAGTTCAAGGGATTTCCCCTCCTGCTGCACCGACCCTCAGCGCTCACTGAAAGCTGCATAGGCTGTGCTTTCCCCATGGGTGCCTGAGAGGTGGGTCAGACACCACAGCCTGTCCCGTGGGGCGGGGGGCTGTTCCGGGGTGGGGTGGGTGACAGGCTGTAAAGAGATGGCCCAGGGAGATCTGGCAGCGCCTCGGAGTGGGGGGGCCTGGCCCCTCTCGTTCCTCGCCGTGCCCACCCCTGCAGGCCCGTCTCTCCTGGTGGCTCCCTGACCTTCTCCACGACCCCAGGGACTTCTTACTGTCTCTCAGGCGGGGGATCCCGACAGAGACGGGCTAAATCCCCCACCCCCAGTCCCTAAATGTACAGCATCCAGACTAGGGGTGTCCGCATGGCCTTCCTTCAGAAGGGAACGAGCACAGCTTCCCCCGACGGGTCTGTGATGGCAGCCCCCAGCCCCCGCCCATCACAGCTTCTCTCCTGCTGTGCTGGCCTTTCTGCTCCTCTTGGCCTGAGCCTGACTCTAGGGTGGGGGGTGGTGCCGGACAGAGCAGGCCAGCTGAGGGACACCAGCAGGGCCTGAGTGGTCCCCCAGGGCACAGTGGGTGCCGTGCTCATGTCTGAGCACAGGCTGGGTC